CGTTATTTTCACGAGCACTGTTTGAACAGCTGCGTAAGATTCGCAAATAAAAAAAACGATGCTGCTGTAATCTGTGACCCACGCTCGATTTGAGTGTACATCACCAGGTCACGATCACAAAACAAAGACAAAGGTCCCCGATATAGCCTGTAACAGACTGTTGGGGCAAATGCTGTGAGCAAGCACCTTTGAAGGCCAACAGAGCACACTAAGAGTTGGGTGGCTTGCTACCACGCCTGACCGACTTTGTGTCCCTGGTGGCGATGTTTCCACATCGCAGCAGGTACTCATTTCAGGCTGAATAGACCTAGGTGAGGCCCAGGACCAGTTCAAATATTCGCCACGGTTATTGGTTGTGAGCGAGAATTGAACTCGGATCGCCGGGTTTCTAGCGCAGTTCGCTAACCGCTGCACTACCGCTTCCCCCAACCACACAAAACACACACGCACAGGCGCACAGTTGCAACGTTTCAACGCAACCTGGAATACTTGGTAATTTTAAATCAGCCGTTGAAAGTAACTAAAAAAAACACACACACGAGGATAATTCTGCAGCCATAATCACACTGACACGGATGCGTATAAGGTTAACTGGCGAAGCAGCTTTTAATCTGCCCTGATATAGTGTCACACACCTTGGCGCACAGCCCCGACGGTAACTCAGCAACACAATTCATGTTTTATTAAGGGCTGAACAGCTAAATAAACCACCGCGCGCGGCGTGACTTATGGTTGTAATAATTTACTGCTGCGGCTCTCCACGCTGTGCCGGAGGTAGTTAATTTATCATTATCAAACGCCGTCAGGCGACGCGCTGTATCAAATTATTTCATTAACTTGTTGCGACAGGGGGAAAAATTATTTTATTAGCAAATTACAATACTGTAAAATGCAATGGAAAGGCTGGCTGGACTTTGGTTGTTGGGAGACAGAAGCAACTCAAGCCGTGCCGGATGCTTCAGTAATGAGTGGGGCCTGTGATTAACACATCATTTAAGTTGGGGTAATTAGAATTGTCTGATTATGTCAAAACCTGCCCGTTGCTCTCATTATGCTCATTAAAAACTTGACACATATATACATGCGCTGTATATGAAATGTAAATTAACGGTTGTGCTTTACGATCGTGTCATTCTGACCTAGTTTTACACTGAACAATTAAAAAAAACTTGCTCGCGCGTTTTGTTCTATTATTGACACTAATTCACTTCGCATAACCGTGCACTACTCTGGTGACGTTTAAAATGGCATTGCCTAATCTTGACATCGAGTGTGTGTAGTGTCGTTGCATAAGCATTGCTTTTTTGTCATCGATTACATCCTGCAATTACACTTTTAGGAGTCGTATGGTGTTTAGTAGTAGTAATAATAATAAGAACAATAATACAGGGATACACAAAACATGTAAATGGCCTTTTCAACAAACCCTTTATATAGTTTTGAATGAAAACAGTTTATCAGAAAGTAGCGTATATGGGTCTGACATTGGAACACAATGGAATTTTCAATGAAGGGCATAGGGAAAGCATGAAGGAATTATGCAGTCGGCTCAACGTCCTCCTTCAAGGAAGGCGTACTTTGTAATCCCTGGCCAAAGAAACTTACCGAAGCAAGGGAACGTGTTTTTAACCGACGAAGCCGAGATTCAAATGGGGCAACCGTTTTAATCTGAGATTACCTTTTCATTAAACAAAATGTAATTTTCACTCAGAACACAGAGGCAGTGCTAACACAGAGCAAAATACCCGTCAACATGTTCTTAATTGATACGCATGACGGTTAACGTGAACACCACGGACAGTTCCCGGACATCTAAATACACGTAACATGATAATTATATGTTATTGCCATAACACGACGTTGCATTTACACACAACATAAATCCACATTGTGTTATTGTATTATACATACATTGCATTTTATCGAGTAATTACTCATTCTAGTATGTGATTCGATCAATATAACGCTGGAATAATGTGTTTTATTAAGGTATATCACCATAACATTTGGATCCTTACTTTTGTAATTTCCGTACAGTTTATATTTTTTTGCCCAGCAAGGGGTTTGTGATGAAGACTAAATGCCAGCATTCTCATAAATGCGCGTGTAGGAAATATTCAATGGTCAAAGTGTGGCAGGAGGAAAGTGACGCTCTATCACAACACAAACACAGTTTGATCTCTTACCAAAAAACAAGCGTGTCACCCCGGGTGTCAGCACAGAATAAAAAAAGGGGCAATTACATCCAGCGCCCTGGGTTCATTTTATGGCAAGCAAACATGGATATCATTATCTGTCGGCATCGCAAGGGCACGTCTCAACGCACGTAGTTGTGTGCGCGTGTGCGTGTGTATGTCTGTGTGTCTGTGTGAGAGGGAGCATTGGGGAGCGGTGCTGTAGCGGTTAGCGCTACGCTGCGCTACGAACCTGGCGACCTGGGTTTGATTCCCGCTCACGGCCAACACCCAGTGACGGTTATCTGAACCGGTCCTGGGCCTCCCCTAGGTCGACTCAGCCTCAAATGAGTACCTGGTGCGGTGTGTAAACATCGCTACTGGGGATACAAAGGCGGTCGGGCGTGGTGTTGGCCATACACCCCCTCGTGTACCGTTCCGGCCTTCATAGGTGCTCGTTAACAGCACTTGTCCCTACAGTCTGTTAAGGCTATACGGGGGATCTTTGTCTTTATCTTTGTGTGTGTGTGTGTTGAGCGGGGAGCAGTGGTGCAGTGGTTAGCACGCAGTGGTTAGCACGCTGCGCTACGCACCTCACGACTCGAATTCGATTTCCGCTCACGGGCCAACACCAGTGACGATTATCAGAACCGGTTCTGGGCCTCCCCTATGTCGACTCAGCCTCAAATGAGTACCTGATGCGGTGTGTAAATATCGCCACTAGGGAGACAGAGGCGGCAGGGTGTGGTACTGGTCACCCACCCGCTCGTGTGCCGTGTCAGCCTTTATAGGTGCTCGCTAAAGCACTTTCCACAACAGTCTGTTGAAGGCTATAGGGGGAATCGTTGTCTTTGTGTGTGGTGAGTGATAGCGTCGTGGTGAGCGCTATGAACTCGGTGACCCGAGTTCAATTCCAGCTCACGGCCAACATCAGTGGCGAATATCTGAACCAGACCTCGGCTCGCCTACCTTGACTCGGCCTTAAATGAGTACCTGGTGTGGCGTGTGATCATCCGCACTGGGGAGGCGCAAAGGCGACTGTGCGTTGTGTTGGCCACACCACCTCCTCGTGTGCCATGCCGGCTTAATAGGTGCTCGCTAACAGCACTTGCCGCAACAGAAGTGTTGGCTATATGTCTTTTGTGTGTGCATGTATTCTCATACTTTCACTGTCTTTCAAACTGCTAGATTTGTGCTTCTTGCTGGGCAAAGGGCCCACGCTATGTCAATGGGAATCTGGGAACGCGTGTTTGGTTTCGACGTGTATTCATGGATGGATTTCTAGCTTGTCATTGGTAAACGCATGTACGAGTGTGCATATTCACTTGTGGCGTGTGTCTAGATGTATAGAAGAGATGGAAGTCCACGCTAATAGTCCAACTTGTTTGTTGTATTCCTATCTGCACGTGCTTCCAAATCGTGAAATAACAAATTCTGTGCGCATGTTTGTCAATGTGGGGAAGTGGTGTCACGGTGGTTAACGCAATGCGCTGTGAACAAAGCTAACATCAGCGGCGAGTAACATCTGAGCTTGTCTTTTCACCAACCCACATTGACCAGCGTGGTCAAGCCTTCATCCATGAGTGAATAAAAAGTGTCTGTAATTGATTTAATGTCATAATTTGTTTAAGACAACTTATTCACGTGCATATGTGTAGATACACACAGACTGGCTTAAAAATTAATCATATTCCAAACATTATCTCTACTTTTTTATTATTACTACTACTCCTACGTAATTTTTTTACATCTAAGTCAATGTCTTTGTAAAGATACTCATATGAGCCGTGCATGCACGGTTCACGCATACGCATGTGCCAGAGGTTGCACGCACGCACTTTATTGCGGCTTCAGCAAGAGTCAGCAGCATTGCCGCTGCAATCCCAAGCCCCGGCCGCAGCTGCCAATGCGCAGCGCGTTGTGACTCTCCTGCCAGTGCGTCTTCACCCGGGTGGGTTAATTGAATTGGGGCCTTTCCCTCCCGCCCCTGTCGCACGGCTGAGTGGGCTGCGCTAATCGTGGTCACGCTCCGTCTAATGGTGCCACACGCTGCACTCCCGCACACACCAGAGTGGGCGTACATGGCCTTAGCAAATGCTGTGGTTTTTTTCTTGGGTTTTTTTTGTGTGTGTGCACGGATAACAAAGCATCGTAGGTTGTGATTTCAGGTCATAACCGCGTGTCGCGCGGCACAATGTCAGATTTTGCTCCGCGTGCTGGGAGCTTCTTCAAGTCCTGAAGAAGCTCCCAGCACCTGGAGCAAAGCGTCCGACATCATGCCAAACAACACACACGGTACAACCAAAAGACAGATCGGAGAGCTATGCGTGCAGAACGATCAAGCATTGCTAAATTATTTTGTGGCAATCTTCGTGCAATTTTCAAGAGAAATGTGAACTTTGTTCAAATAAAAGTCCGCTGATGTTGTGAACAAGACAGACACATAATCGGAAATTGCCTAGAAGGTAGCGGTGCATATTCTGTTTTAAAAATTACATCCACATGCACGCACACACGCACACATATAAAGTGTCAATTTTAAAATATATGAAGCCAATAGCCGAAAAACACAGCGCAGCCAATTTTTTTTTCACATATTGTTTAGCAGGGATACTTCCTACTACTTCCCCCGCCACTCCTTTTTATTTCTGACAGGATACAGACACTCTGTCATAGGACCTCTTATAAGTAAGTGCTGAGGACACACGCCAGCGCATGTACTGGCCCGAAGAGCAATGTGTAGCCATCAGCCAGGAGTGGGTATGCAATGCTAGAGAGTGCGGTAGCTTGCAGTACTGCCCATGCCCCTGCTTTCTTGTCTGGCAGGAGGTGATCTTGAAGCGCGCGGCAGATTTAGTGGAGGCTTTGTACGGCCTGCCTCATTACAACCAGGTAATTGCTGCCCATGCAATTAATAAAGCGCCTATTTTTAAACACATAACTGTACGCAGGCTTTAATTCTACACTGCGCGTCTGTAATGATCGTGCTGTGATTCAGCCGATTTCATATTGCGTTATATCTATTGCTTATCCTCCCGTACTTCATTTCATTTTGTTAATTTTTTTGTAAACATGCTCCATGGAAAGTGAAACATTTGTTTCAATAAGGGATACAATTACACGAATCTGCTTTCTTCGCTTGAATGTGGTTTCTTTTGGGTTCCTTATGTCAGGTTTTAATTTACTCAAAGGCAAAAAACCTAGACCTGTACATTATAAATATGTGACTATGAATTGCCTAAACATTCACAAATACCCACTCCAAACCACTTACTTTCAATGAAAGCACAACTTGACGATAAGGCTTTTGAAGCATTTGTGTGAAAATGTTTGCACCTTTGTATGTAAAATAGAAAAATCACTCAAATAGGGGAATTGAAAAACTTCTCCTGTGGATATCCACATACACTGAGTAATAACAACTTATTTGTTTTTTTTTTAAGATCAAGCCTGTTGCCATTGTGTATACTTGTTACCGAATGATGTGAGGATTGCTTTATAAAAAAAAGATAAAGTTACAACTCATATATATACTGTATACATTGTTTGAATGTCATTCATATTTTGCACTGCAGTTATAACAAGGCAATGCTTCATAAACAATTGTTATTTTTCTGGCGTGTGTCTGTGTCTTGGTTCATGCATGCGTCCATGCGTGCGCACGTGCGCGCGTGTCTATGCGTGTGTGCACGTGCGTGCGGTGTGCACGCGTGTCCACTTGTGCGTCCATGCGTGTGTGCGCATGTGCGCGCGTGCGTGCGCGTGGGTGCGTGTCCATGCATGCGTCCATGTGCGTGTGCGACGTCCGTTGCGTGCGTGTGCGCCCATGCATGTGTCCGTGCGTGCGTGTGCGCCCATGCATGTGTCCGTGCGTGCGTGCGTGCGCCGTCGCACTTTAGGAAATCATTCTCAAGAGAGCCGCGGACATCGCCGAAGCTCTGTACAGCATGCCCCGCCACCAGAATCAGCTGCCGGCTCTGGGGAACTCGCCGGCTCACCACGCCATGATGGGAGTCAACTCGTTTGGCGGGCAGCTGGCCGTGAGCGTTTCGGAGCCCGGCCAGTCCGTGGAGCAGGCCATGCTGAGCCACGCCACCGGTCGGTACCCCTGTATGTACTGGCATGAGTGCGCTCCTTCTCGCATGGTGTGTGCTCGATACGATCCCCGCCGCCAGACACGACCAAACCTCATTGGGCACACTCTCACACTTTCTCACGCAACTTGCACACTCGCATTTGTCGACAAACCCCCACCTGGAACTGGCAGGAGAGGTTTCAAATTACATTGCTGTGATGATGAGAAAGACATTTGGAGAATTAGAACATTATATTTGGGGGGTTTTGTTCCCTCCTCCGAATAACTGTTGGCCAACGATTGGGCCAATGTCATTCTTTCACACGTCAAAGTCACTGGATTCATGATTATCGCAGCAGTTGACATTATTTGGGGGATACATGTTGCAGCCATCGTTTAACGGCAGTGCCAGGGAGTAAAACCACTGACATTGCAGCTGCAGGTTGTGGACACTTTTTTGACGGATGAAACAAATACAAGGCTGCCGCTGTCACCATTTAATTCCATCCCCAGGTTTCGATGATAGTGGGTGCACGGGTTAATAATCAACACCTGTAGACATGTGTCTGACAACACTGAGCCAAGGTCACGAATTGAATCTAAGGGGCCCCTGAATGGTAGCATTGCATTTATGCATTACGGGTAATAGCTGAGGCACCCCAGGCTCCCTTTATTCCTGAAATGCTGAGAATACCACTGCGAGCACGTCCGGAGCGCGCCGGCACGTACAAATTATGCACTCGTGGCTCAGGATTTGTCCGTGCGCGCGTGCACGTGCCGGTGATGAGAATGTTAAGTGCGAGCGTGAGTGCACGTGCATGCGAGCGAGCCATTCCGCGGCGCTGTCCATCGCCGTTTACTTTGATTGGAGCGTATTGCCAGACACTCCACAATGTTTGGGCTTGCATTTCGGCCACGCTCAGAGCGTTCCCCTTTCCGCGGCCGAACAGAGCGAGAAGACACGTGGGCTGCGGCCAGCTTGTGCCTCCCCTCCCTCCCCTCCCAGGCGCCACGCGCCCAGGCGTCTTTTGTGCGGACGTGAAATGAAACTTTTCACAAGTCGAATTTCACCTGCCTTCATCGTGGCGTCTGTGTCGACAACACGCGATTCACGCTTCCTTCCCTATGCCCGCCCACTGTCACCGCCACCGCCACCACCACCAAGAGCCACCTCTATCACTCCCCGACATCACCGCTGGCCCGACAACCTCACCGTACCTCCAGCCCACCGCCCTCTTCGTTCTAGAAAAAAAAAACCCCAGCACCGCTCTAAACCTAATAAAGAGGAAATGAGCGGCTGGCCAGCGCTCATCTGTGGCCCTTCGCACAGCAGATTGAAATCGTGCTGGCTGCAAAGGTCGCGATGATTGTCTTGCTCGCATCTCCCAAACCTGGCGGCAGCGGCCACATTATGCGCACAGGGCCGGAGCAATAGTGCTGGGGAAAATGGGATTTAGATTGGGGCAAACGCACGTGCGTGGACTGGGGGTGGTGGGAGATTTCGGGAAACGAGGACAGAGCAGGTGGGGGCGGGGGGGTTGGGGGGTTTGGTGGTGGGGCGTGTAGGTGGGGGGTTGGGGGGTTTGGTGGTGGGACGTGTAGGTGGGGGTTTGGGGGGTTTGGTGGTGGGGCGTGTAGGTGGGGGGTAGGGGGGTTTGGTGGTGGGGCGTGTAGGTGGTACTGGGATAGGTGGAGGAGGAATGAGGAGTTGGGGTGGCTAGCTGGGGTTGGGTGTTCATTTGTAAACATAGCCATGCAACATGTTGGCATGTACTCATGCAGGTGGATTACTTCGCTGTTTTTTTATTCTAACGGGACGTGGTTTCCTTAATAATTCCATCGAACCTTTACTATGCTTGCGATTGCCACGACGGCATGAAAGTTAAGTATTGTACCAAGTGAATTATCTTTAAATAATGTTTTGGGCTGAACAAAAATATGCCATTTCTCCAATCGGTAAGATTCAGATGTATCAGTTGTATTAAACAATCTGTTTCTGCACTGTGTAATAGTCTTTAAGGAAACACATTTTTAACATCACTTGGCTCATTGCACAACATATGTAAATCCTTAACTCACACGCAGCCCTTAAATCAATAGCAGATTTTAAATAAATAAATAAACATATACTGTATGTGAAATAGTATAAAAAAACCTGCTTTAAAGATAAATGAAAAACTGCTATGTCTGTCATGGCTTGTTGTCTACTGATGGCACCGAGTCAAGTTTCAAAGACGGGACGGAGTGCATTACATGACAAGCAGGCGTTTAGTCCGTGTACAAGGCGGATTGTCTGTACAAGTTTCCAATTGTCGTTTCTCAAATGAAATTCGGCGTCTTGGAGGCACTGATAAAATGCATCAGTGGAACTTTGGAAAGGGGATGGGCGGTGGGGGGGAGTGGGTGGCCGCGTATGGGGTGGAGGGAACATTCAATCGTGGATGAAAGATCTGAAAAAAAATTCCCGTGCGCCGAACTGAAGGCTGAATCGTGAATCGCAATGTGGAGATTTCACTCTGTAATCCCATCAATTGTCACCTCCTGAACCACGGGTCACATTTTCTCTTACGCCCCTGTCATTTCCCCCCCCCCCCCCAAAAAAATTAAACCTAAGCCACCTCCGCCGCGCCTCTGATCTGTGACTTGGTATTCCAGGCAAAGTCCCTTAGTGCTCCGCAAGGCCAAGAACAAGGCAAAAAAAAGAGTTGGCCAGAATATTAGCGTTCACTCTGCAATCGCAACCACTGGTCATGCCCCCAACCTTCCATGCAATGGTTTAAATCCTCGCTAGGGCAACTGACCCCCCCCCCCCCCAAAAGTCAACGAATCCATTTGTAATCTATCTATCGCTGATGCGATACAAATACAGGAAAGGGGTGGGGGGGGGGTGGGCGGGGGTAGGGGGTGACCATCAGTGGTTAGTACACCACAGCACTCGCAGTCCAGTAATATCCGCACCGATTCACGGCCCGTCACTTCACAGACCCGACCCGCACTGCCCAGCATGGAGAACTATGGACGGACATCCCCCAATGCTGATACAGCACGGGGTGGCCTTCATCCAGCAGTGGATTGATAAATAGCTCGAAATTATAACATTTTAATTCATCTTTCTTAAAGCGGTCATTCAGAAGTTTGAAATGTTTACAGCATATAAGGGCATCTTGCTGTATGCGTCAGAGACAATGTTAACCTTCAAGTATGGCGTCTGCATTTTTCTAGCATAACACAATCCATAATTATCGATTTCCGTGAGTAATGTTTTATTCTTAAGCTAGTGGCAAGTCATTCAGCATGCCAACTGTGGCCACGGGTTCTGTCCATTTGCTATTCTGCAGAAACACGTTTATCTTTGCTTGTTACACTGGGAGGGATCACGTCCCCGCCGCTACAACGGTGTGACCATCCATGCCGCTCTCAAGTAATCTTCGGCAGCGTTCAGCAAGTGGACTGTCATTCCAACATGTCCCCAGCAAAAATAGCTGAATCCGTCACTAATTCATCGGAGCATTTCAGACGGCCGCACGTATTGGCGATGCCAATTTGACATCAGATGACTTCCGAGGTGGAGTTGGTGGGCCACGAACGGTTTAAGCCATCGTCAGTATTAGAGACCCGAGTGCGGGCAGCGGTGCCTGCAGGAGACAGTACAGCAATTGGGATGATGCCCTCTCTCTGCAATGGAATATTAATGTCCTTCTTTCTATGCCACTCTTCGACGTTCAAAAGTAGCATACATTTTTTTTTACTTTGGGTGCTTCAGTTTCCTCCCAAATGAAACGAAAATCTATATACATTGGCAAAAACAAAAAATAATCCCAAGTAGGGCTTGACTGAAATACAAACTTTCCTGAAATCGCAAGGGAATTATTCAACCAATCAAATAAATAAACAAACAACCACATAACCGAACGCATGTGTGTCCCACGCATACACAGGCACGCTCACATGCACACAAACGCATAACAAAAACAACAACATAAACCGCCATTTGCTACTTCGTGGCGGTGACGTCACCACGGCGTTTTTTGCCAGGCTATGTGTACTTGAATGCCACGTGAAGTGTCATGGGACAGACCCAGGTGTCATGGCTTGACTGACCGAGATGACTGGCAGATGCACCACCTGTGCACCGCCCCCTTACTGTGCCAACACAAAGACACGCACGCACGCATGCACCCACGTGACCGCGCACCCACCGTTGCTGAACTAAAGCAAAACAATTTTTTTTTCCGATAAACACAACCAGCAACAATTCATCCAACCGAACGATTAATCAACACGGGCAACCGCACCGCACCACCGCGCCGAACGAGTCGCGACCCTCACGCCAACGCCGACGCCGCCGTCCGCCGCTGCGCTGCCGTTGCAGGTTACAGCCGCAACACGAGCAGCGTGTCCCCACGCGGCTACGTGCCCAGCTCCACGCCGCAGCAGTCCAACTACAACACCGTGTCCAACAGCATGAACGGCTACGGCAACGCGGGCATGGGCAACCTGGGCGTGCCAGGCTCGCCGGGCTTCCTCAACGGCTCCTCCGCCAGCTCGCCCTATGCCAGTGAGTGACGCGCAGCGAAGACAAAAGACTCGGCCACACCCCCGCCCCCCCCCCCGGTGTGGCCTGTGACGTGACTCGCCATCGTGGCGAGTTGCTGTTAGCGAGCGCTTGCGCAGGCCGGCACGGCGCGCGGGAGGGGGGGGGGGCTGGGCCGACGCCACGCACGTCCGCCCTTGCTGCTCCCTACTGAGTCATGATGTTAACACGCTGCACGAGGTGCTCATTTTAAGGTCGAGTCGACCTAGGGGGGGGGGGTGGCTCTCACACACGCGCACGCACGCATACGCGTGAACGCACGGACAAAGATTCGCTCTCTCCCCGGACCCCTACAGCAGCAGTGTTAACCGCAGCACTCGCACACGCGCACCGCACGCTCCAGTGGGACCGCACCGAGAAGACACCTACGCTGTTGGCGCGTGTCGGTTGTTGAGATTTCATCATGGCGAGCAGATGAGGGTCCTGTCTCTTCTTTTTGTTGTTGTTGTTGTTGCGATTTCTGGTTGCCGCGCTAGAAATGTGCGCCGCATATCCGTTGCTGGAGAAACAAAACGCACGCCGTCGCGTCTCTTGCAAGAGACGCTGCCGCTGCTGCTGCCGCTGCCGCCTTTATTACTGCTACTCAACTTCCCTAATGCTTTCAAATATGTATAACTAAATCCCCGTAGTATCGTACGAAAAAATAAAATAAACCTCGCTCGGAACCCTTAGCACCTTCAGTAATTTGAAATTCTTATAGGATCCTGTAGGTATTTTTTTTTGGAAATACGCGAGAAGGGTTTTTTTTTGCTGTTGTTGCAAGAGAGGCTAATAAGTGTTCACGAGTAATGGATAATGCATGCTTCTCGGCGAGCGATGTTTATGATGAGTCATTACTTAGAACCGGAGTTCCCGCTAACAATGTGCATTTTCTCCACGGGTTGACTCCAGGAGTGGCGTCTGCCACTCGTTCACGCGCAGGCGCAGCACACGTGCTGTTTCGCACGCGCATGCGCAGCACACGTGCTGTGTCGCACGCGCACACGCACGCGCAGCACACGTGCTGTGTCGCACACGCACGCGCAGCACACGTGCTGTGTCGCACACGCACGCGCACACGCACGCAGAGCACACGTGCTGTGTCGCACACGCGTGGCGAAGCAACACATTTCACGAGCGCAGCTCGCTAATTGGGCGTATTTGTTTTATTTATGCATTAACCCTACATTTGTCAACATTTACGCTCACAGTCCCGCTGTGTTAGAGCATCCGCAGCTGCTTGTGCGATGAGATCGCGCAGTTTAGGCGCAGCGTAAGTAGCCACCAGAAGAAAGAAAGATTTAAAAAAACACCGGTCTTTTTTTAAGGGCTTTATTATCTACACCCACGAAATGTGTTTTTTTTTAATCAAAAGTATGTATTGTATGCTTGCATTAAAAAAGTGAAGCAGATCATTACTAGAGTTCCCATGCAGCCTGTATGTCAAAAAGGTTGCTGTCAAACTGTTTACAAACCATGCCCCGGTTCATGAATTACTAATGCTCCTAAATGACTCATAAACCCAACTAATTGGCAATTTCTGTGTGTTGCATGTGTTCGGATTTGTCCCCTTATGCTCTAAAAGCATAGCCCCGAGGCATTGGCGTCCTCTTTTGCCTGTGTCGGGCTCTTTGAACGCATGTTTGTGTCTCCACACTGACACTCAGGGAAAGGGAAGGAGAAGTCAAGAAAGAGAGAGAAAAAACAAACGTTGCCGTTCCTCGACAGTTCATTTGCAAATCTTGAGTCAGCGCAAAAGGCCCTTTAAGCGTCTTGTCTGGCAGCCTGTGTAAGCCTGTCCCATCTCGCGGGGAGCGTCGGGCGCAATGCACTCCCGACCCCTGACAGCTCATTTGTAAGCTCGGCTCATGCCAATGCAGGGGCGTCGGCCCTCCCCGCACGGCCCGTCCGTGCCAGGTCTGCCCGTGGCACTGTGCAGATCCCCCGCCCCAGACGGGAGTGCACGTTCAGACCGTCAAATTAACCTAGTTTCACAGCGCGTCACTCTCACCATGCCTGCCGCGCAAAGCACCCTCCGTGGACTTATCCAATTTTTTTTTGCGTCCATTGACTACTTTGTGGCTGGCTCTCGTACAATGCGCAAAATTGTTCAATAGCTCCCAGTGGGCGACCCAATAAATTATCATGTGCCTAATAACGGCTAAGTCCTCGCCGGGCAAACGCAAAATGTTTATGAGGCTCGCGTAGCTTTTTTTTTCCATTGTAAATCTAGGAAGGGTGATGACTCAAGCAAATGCAATCCATCATGCATCTGTAAATGTGGTGCCAGAATTTTCACGCGAAATCTGGCATCGGTTACGTTTGCGCTTTTTTTGCTCTCCGCATATGATGCATGATTAAAAAAATAACCATGTGTTCACTTTTAATAAAGTACGAAATGTTATTCGCATATACGGTGCCATGACCTGGCCCAGTACTGCATACCATTTTGTCCTTCGTTTCATTTTTTTTACGTGTTTACTTTGGTTTGCGTAATAACAAGTTTTGCTTCTCCATGATTTCCAGTGTTACGTTCATTTCACCGCAGCGTAGGACATCATTTATTCTGATGCATTGGAGTGGCCACTGATTCATTAGTCACCAGAGGAAAGTACGGCATGATTGTGTCAATCAGCGTTTAACAAACAAACAAACAAAAAACCGAAACAAAGCCTAAACAAAAACAAATCGGCAAAAAGCAGTCGTGGAAAGCGTCGGAATCTTAACGCAGCACAACCCAAAAAAACAAGACGAAAAGGGGAAAACAAAAAAAAACGATAATAAAAACAAATTACAAAAAAAAAACAGGACAACCAAAAGTAAATAAACTAAAACAACCAAACGAGATTACTTAACGACGCAGTAAAAGTGCACAAACGAAGCCACGCCAGGTTGACGTGTCTCGTTACGAGAGGGGGCAAAAGGCTCGATCTAACGGACGCCTCTCTCTCTTTCCCTCTGTCTCCCAACCAGTCATGCCGTCAAGCCCTCCCGTGGCTGCTCCTCCCTCCATCACCCTCCCTTCCAACTGTAGCGGGGCCGGGGGCGTTTTCTCATTCTCCCCCGCCCACATGATTTCCGCAGTCAAACAGAAGAGCGCCTTCGCCCCAGTGGTTCGCCCGCAGGCATCACCCCCGCCTAACTGCACCAGCGCTACCGGCAATGCCCTCCAAGGTGAGGGCGAACGTTTAGAGAGACTCAATGCCGAGCGACTTGCAACGCCACAAATGTCATACTTTCTGTTGTTGTTCTTTAGTTTCTTTCCGCGAAAGTCACGCGCCTGGGTCTTGCACTGCAAAGCGGTTTTTTTTTCCATGCCCTCCTCCCCCCGTACCTCCGTGGCTTTGTGGCGTTGCAGGTTTTATTCCGTGAACAATTCTCCGGCCCGATGTGCCTGCCTGGCCCCCCCCCCAACCCTGCTCCTCCTCGTTTGTCCCCTCAATGGGACTAATTTGAGAACGTGCACATCCCACCCTAACCGCAAAATAAAAAAATAAAAACACAAAACCACACACAGCGCTAATTCGAAATTTCTAGATTCCGTATTTCACGCACTCACGCATACGCAATGTACTGTGAATGCAAAAGGGGGGGGGGGGGGCTTTGATCAGACTGGGAAAACAAACCCAATTCTCATAATGAGAATAAAAACAGATGCAATTGAATGCCATCGACCAAAGAGAGTGCGCAAATTACAAAAAAAAATTAGATTGTAAGTTAAGTTTAGACAACATAGGGGGGGCGGGGGTGGGAGAAACATGAACTGGAAAAACAACACAAAAAACCGGCTTCGCAGTTGCCAATGAAAATTCCACGTTCGCAATGACCGCTGGCCGTGCCTTTGGGGTCGCGGGCGTAGCCCTTGTAATCACGCCACGGTCGAGCCCCCCCGCCCTCCCCCAACTCTCCCCAGCCCCCCCCCCCACCCCCACATCATCTCGCCTTACGGAGGTGCTTTGCCTTAATTAGCGCCCCCCCCGTGACGTCACCGGCACGCGCTCGCCGCTCGCCCGCCCGCCCGCCCGACGCACGCGCTGCTGAGTGAGAGCCGCCAGCAACGTGGGGGTGGGGTGGGGGGCGCCGCGCTTCTCGCGCGCGCACGCACGCGCGCACGCACGCGCCAGCAATAGCGGCTGCACTAATCCAGCACCTGCTGCTGACGCCGCCCGCTGCTGTTTTGCCTGTGCTGATGGGGGCCATCCGTCGGCTGTTGGGACAATGGATGTAACGCATGACCATCGTTCCCTTTCAACGTCGCCGTGTCGCTAACATCAGCTCATGTCGCCCTGACGCGTCGGCCAATGGACCGGGGTGTCGCTTTGCGTTCGCCCGCCGTGACGCTGTTCGCGTGCTTAAATGTAAACAGCGCGAGCTCAATAATGTGCAATCGGTCACCCTAACCGCAATTTACAAATTTCCCTATCCCCGCGTCGTAAAGAAAACACTGCCTGTTTTGTGCCGTTTGCTGGTTCTTAACGCAGATTTTCCTGGATTTAATGAGAGAATGAGAAGTTTTGTTTCTGAGTAAACTTACAGGCTTTTCCAATTTCCTGTAATACAAAACTATACGCTGGGTTAGCAACCCGCAAGCATCAGGCTAATAGCCAACAAATTTCCTCTTTGCATTAAACTCAATTTTAAAAGCATCCCCCCACCCCCCAACCCCTCATTTGATTTCATTTATTTATTATTTTTGTTACTTTTTTTTAAAGAAACATGAAACCAGTAGACATAAGTAAGACGTTTTGGAATTTGTTCCGTGTAAATGGTGCGTAATGGACTTGGCACCGCGCTAACAAGATTATGATCTATTAGCTACGCGCAGCCTCCATCGCAACAAAATTAGAAACCGACTACAGCTTCGCAATGCCTTCGGGCTTGTTACAATCGATGAATGTTTAAAGGCACTGTCTATACTTTATCACGCAGGGAATTTTGGACATGGTCTTGTTGCGCAGTTTAAAGATTCTGTTTTAGGTGGGTATTCCAATGCATCACAGACTTAGCACGTCCTTTTTTTTTATTCCATCCATGCACATCATTTCACTGTTGTTGTGTTTTTAGTTGTTTTTTTTCCCTCCAAATATATATATATTTTTTTAAAAAATCACTGCATTTCCCTGTCCCATCTCCTCTCTTCCTTGCAACTCTCACATTGCTAGATTATTTTATGAGTTTAATGAATTGTGTTTATACGCGTGCCATAACACTTAAGGCCATTTGTAATATTATTAATTATTTTGTAATAAATTCACCTCCCAACTATGAGGCATCATATAATTCTTGCGATTATATGGTTTTGAGTTTTTTTTTTGTTACCTGTTATCTATTTTGGGCATGATAATTTCCGTTAGCTTTCACTCGCAGGGCTTCATTTGATCGTCTTTGCTCTATTTTATTTGGCGGTCAGCTCGAGCCGATGTCAGTAAGTTGTTTTTTACGGGCCAAGTGGTAATTTCAAATCTCAGAAACACTCAGCGGATGAAAGCCCTTATACGAAGACACGCCCACAGTTAATTTCCAAATTCCAATAAACATTCGGGAGATATAAACGCCATGATTGACCGGTTTGGACAGGGAAGGATAACTCGTTGTTCTTTTTCAACAGCCCAGACAATGTGAGCATCACCGCAAAACACAACAACAGAGACATAAATCCGTCCGCACTGCATGCGCTCACATGCCATCACGTAAACTACGAAGCAAATGACAATCACGTTCAATACTTACACTTTTTTTCCTCGTAATAAATCGACTAACAATGTTGATATTGCACATTTTTGGTTGAAAAAAAATACTCCCGGTGAATGTGTGCATTATGCTAACCGTGTGTTTCAATTTCTTTCCTCCCCCCCCCCCTCCCCTTTGTCTTCCATACTCGTCTGCCTCCGCTGTACATTTCTCCCTCAGCCATGTCCGGCTTGGTCGTCCCACCAATGTGAGGAAAAAGACAACCACTTGCCTTCCACCTTCCTCCGGGCACGCCACATCACCCAGCTCGACAGCAGCGCTTGCTATCCATTCCTGTCCAATATTGGGAAAAACGTAACCCCCCTCCACCTGCCACTGCCACACCACGCCTCCCCTGCCCCACCCCCTCTCGTCCCATGCACCCTCCCGTGCCCCCCCCCCAACACTTTTTAAGGAACTTGCAAGTCGACGATCGCCCACCCCGAACACAAACAAAAGCGCTTGGGCGGTGTGACATTGGTGAAACAAACAACAACAACAACAAACCGGAAGAAAAAAGCATAGTTCACGCGAGGAAAAAAAATCCCGCAAGGCCTTGTGTGAACTCGAAAGACGACCACGTGAATGAAGGGAAACTTCTAAATGTCTGTCGAAGTTACGAAATAATGATGTTAATGAAATATAAAAATGTAAAAAGAAACGCAAGCGAACAAAAACGTAAGCCCCCGACATCAACGACGACGATATAAACCACACGCAGTCGTCCTCTCGTTTCCTTGTGCACTGTCGAGGTACAAAGTTTCGTCCTAGATCGTAGTCTGACGTTTTATGAATACAGTACATAGATCAGGAAAATGCTATGAAGGGGAGAGAGAGAGAGAAAAAAAAAATGTGAACGGATGTTTTATTCCACAAATTCACATTTTGGTGTGTTTTTAGCGTTTGTAAAGATGATGCGTTTGATTTTAAGCGAACGAAAGAAAGGGAGAACATGTTTTTCATTTTGTTCTTTTTTTTAAAGCAGGGAAAATTCGGTTTACGATGTCGTTTGCCCACAAGCCACGCTTTGGTAAAAGGTCACAGCCGGGATGATGGGGGGTGGGGGGGGGGAACTTTTGAATCCGCTCGTAAGAAAGGCCATAGTTTGACAACAATGTAACAGCTTCACTTAACACTTCTGTACCATAAAATGTATTTTACATAGAGTACTGCGTCAGGGTGTAAACATCATTAATGTTAGCTTGTCTGTTCTCTATGTTTGGTGGAATATCTCAGAAACACGAATATTGTAGCATGTAAAAAAATGCCACTGGAAGACCACTTTTCAATACGAACAATGTTCGCTAAAACAATTTGACAAATGTGGGACGTTTGTCTTGGAGAATGTAATTAGGTGATAATTTTCGTCACGGTCCAGAATGCAGATACAAAAACAACACAGTTCGTGGAATATTCGTAACTTTCTTGGGTGATGTTTGCAAAATCGGAACTAACGACAACAATACCGTGTAACGCTTCAACATTTGTACAGTCAGATGTGTCGTGAGTTTCAAAGCATGTGGCTTGTACGCAAGCAACACTGAACAAAACGTTGGCAAAGGTGTAAAAACAAATGGGCTTGGGAATCTTCTAATAATCACTATCTGTATTATAGTAAAAAAAAAATCTTTGAAGAAAAAAAAGAATAGAAATTGTGAATGCTATATAAACTTGTGTATGTGTGTGTGCGCACGCGCGCGTGCGTGCGTGCGTGCACGTGTGTGTTGCCTTCAAAAGCACAGTGCTTGGAAAAAAAAATCGGTTTAAAAAAAGTTGAAATAAGAGAAAATAAGTGACAATAACACTTTCGCCGTGTAAAAGAAATTCGATTATTACTTTAGAGCTTCCTTTGAAATAAAATACTCAACAACCTTGTTCTTGCAAGCCCTGTACAGTAGTGATAACCTCTGGCTCTTTGGAGTAGGTTTTGTCAAGTATTTGACCTGGTACTAGTAATCTTCACTTTCCCACTCGTCCTCTCTCTCTCTCTAACCCCTCCTCGTCTCCCCCCGCACCCCTGTTATTTTTTTTGTAGTGTGCTTTTGACCATAGCTTCGTAGTTTGGTGATTTTCGACAAAAAAAAGTGGTAGCTCAATATTTATACTTCGATGTCTTAAAATATACTGTTATGCCGCGTTAAACGGAAAAAAAACAATTGTGCTCTTTGCGTTCTCACTTTTTTGACAGGGAGCTCAGAAAGAAAAGTCTTAATATTCGTTAAAAAAAATGTCCCTTTACCAGTTTCCTCTTAACAGCACGAGTCACATTTTTTTGTAAAATAACCTTTATACATAATGTATTTATCTCTCAGTGGTCAGCGCAAACTGTGATGTTTGTTCATTTTTGTAGCACACGTTTATCGCTTACTTTAGACAAGATGTAGCGGTGTAATTAAGAAAACGAACACACACACAAAAAAAAAACGCAAAAAAATTTAAAAAAACTTTTGCGAGGATATAAACAAAAAAAAAATCGCATGAACCATTTTAATGATTTCACGGGTGTTTCCCGCCTGTATAGATTTCTGTGAGTGTAATTCATTTTTGCCATATCCGTGAACTTGTAGCCAACGCGACTTGCACAGATATGCCCGTGCGTACAAAAGTCAATGTTTATTTTTGTATTTTTTTATGTTTAATGATTTGTTGTGAAAGTGTTTGATCAAGGTTTGAGGCTGCCATTAAATATTAATAATGAACAAATTCATAAGATCAGTGGCGCATTGAAGTTTTGTTTTACGCCTTCAAAGGGACAGCGTGTGCTTTTAATAGAATGTGCCTTTTGATTTTGATTTTCAATCAATCGTGCCACTTAACTATTAATATCCGTGTGTTAAGATGAGAATTTTGTAAATTCATGTTATATACCAATGTAATCAAATTATACCTTGTGTTTTATTTAAAAATTCAAAAATGTAGACATCCCTCAACACTTAGCTTAACTTGTTTCATTTTCTCTGCAGTGCAATAATAAATAAATAAAAATTACGACGACGATAATAATAAGAATAGTAATACGGTTCAGCACATTAATATATCGTCTCATAATTTGAGACATTATTTGAATGCATGTTTTATTTCTTTGTGGCAAAAGGGTGTATTGCCAAGTATACGCTGTCCCTTTCCATATTTGGATGCGAGTGTCAACCAGAATCCACGTTTAATGCAACGTTGTTTCCTTCTATTACCTGATACATGCGATGAAATACCAACGGTCACAATGGACATTGGCGCAATTCAGAAAAGAGGTCCTTAAAATTCAATCAAAATTGTCTTCGCGTTGGCATTGTTTTTGTTGTTGTTACATTTCTTTGCGCCAAAATGTCATTTTTGTATCTTTTTTTTTTAGATGTTACACTTTTTAAGTGCCGTGTTTATTAAGCACCCAGTTGTCCAGAGTTCTGGCTGTACATTTTGATGTCCAGCAGCCCCAAGACAAACTGGACAGTGGAGGCCTGTGAATTACCATGCACACGGACAGATTTCGGCCCACGCCGCACCATCACTATGCTATCACTTTTTAGTAAACGATTCGCTATTTAGGACATGGTCAAATACGTTTAAAATGTTATTAATATGTTATTTTAAATGTACATTTTTCTTCTCCCTAAAAAAAAACAAAAAAAATTTGGACTGTATAAAAAGTGTTGCATTTTACACAATATTTAATTAAAGTATCTCTTGTCTGTGAAAAATGTGTCGCGCGTATTTTTACACGACAGTATTAAATAGCGCAGAGCAAGGAGATGGTACCGTGGATAGCGTGCCGCAGTGTGAACCCGGTGAGCCCAATTCAATACCGCATGGAACGGCTTTCATCAGTGACAAGCGATATCAGAGCCACTCATGTTCTCGCCAACCCCTTCGCCCAACCTGCACTGACCAGCGTGGTGAAGTATGGGCAGGCCGAGATCCATAATAACTACATTACAGAGAGACCGTGCTCTCTGTAATGTAGGTATTACTACATTGCACATTTGCAATAAATTACAGAAGCATGTGTCGATTCCTGAATTGGTATACCTATGAAAAAAATATATACACTAAAGACAAATTCCGAAACATGCATTGCTTTAAATAAGCATAAAATTGATACTCGTGATATCAAAACGCATTTAGAGATCACGGTGATGCGACATGAACACAGCAAAATGATATAATTTGGTCTGAATTTGGGCAAAATCTTTTGGTGATAATAATGTTCAGCTCTGACGATCCACTGCTGGATGAAGGCCTTCAGCCGTGAGGGTTGCTTGACCATACTTCACCATACTAGAACTAAAAATCACAATCCTGAGATATGCACGTCTTGTGTACACCTCAATAGAACCTCAGCCACACATTGCTGATATAAATTTCGACTCATTAAACGCCTGACGGGTGGAGCAGGTGGCACAGTCGTTTGCGCACTGCATTATGAACCCGCCCACTTAGGTTCGATACTCGGGCGAGTAATATCTAAACCGGTCCCGAGAGTCTCCACTTCGCCAACGGGCACTGACCAGCATTGTCAAGTACGTTCCAACAAAGCCCAATTAATTATATTTGCAGGGCGAGGCCCTCATCCAGCGGTGGATTAACAGAAAGAGCTGTAAATGAACAATGAACAAATCTGAGCACAAGTTCGGTCACCGTGCGAGCTACAAAAAAAACCCATCAGCAGCACTCTTGACTGGTGACACGAGGCGAACGGGGGGCCGCTCTGAGTCACCTATGGTGCGATCGGTTACCGAGACTAATTGCGATGCTTCAGACACCGGCCTTGCAATGCGATGTTGTACCCCCGAAGCCCAGCCCAGCGCCCGCCGCTGCGCGCACGAAAGCACCGGCGATCAATAGCCCCGCAGGCAAGGTTATCATCTCCAACGGTGGGTGTGGCCTCCACCTAATTTAATTTTTGCACGCTATCCCCCCCACACACACACCACAACCACCACCACCGCCACCACCAAACGCTCCCGTCGTCCCCAGCGCTCGTGCTTGCTCTCCACTGCTTCTCTCTCTCTCTCTGTTTAAAACAGAAGGGACAAGGGAGGGGGATGGGGGAAAGAGCCCACCAAACAGAGGGCTTTAATCTATACTCATCAAGATGGGCCAAATGAAGCGATGATAGCAATTGGTGCTGCTTATCTGAGCCCCATTGCATGTTGCACACCGCTTTTCAGAGCCAGGGAGGAGGAGGAGAAGGGGTTGAGGGCAGGGAAGAGGCAGCAAGCAAAAAAACCTCACTCCGGCCTCTGTCAATTTCTCATTCTTTAAGCGAATGCTTCTGACAGCCTTCAATAAAGCTGCACGTGACATTAACGAGTTGGGTGAGGAGGAGGGATTTGGGGGGGGGGGTAAAAAAAAATTGATGTCGATTTTTTTTTTTTGGGAGCGAGACCCCATTCATTATTTGGGCTCTCGTCTGCACGGCGATTCCCGGCTAATTGGCTGATTACCATTCGCGCGGGCGCCGGGTGTCAATAAGTCATCGAACGCCCGGCAAGGACGCGCCTTGTATCGAGATGAAAGGGTCACCCCGCTGCTGATGTGGCCTACTGATGCATCTCACACCTTTGGCACACTCGGAGATAGAGAGAGAGATATGTAGAGAGAGAGAAAGAGAGAGAGACTCTGACATGTTCTGCCACATCATTCGCTCATTCATTTGAAGGCTCTTGGCAGAGCCAGTGATAATGGTCTTTGAACAAATGTGTTAATAACGTTATTGGTTAACACAATTGCTGTGTATGCAGAGATTTGTAACACAGCTTCAAAGACCCGTGAAATGTAACTGTGCATGGTGATAATGTGTTAAATGCTTATTTATCTCAAGAGTAATATTTTCAATATATAGCGCTTTGTCAAGCCACTGTTGGATTAATACCCCTCCCCAATTCTGCAGCAGCCATGGGGTTATTTGACCATACTTCACCATGTTGGTTAGTGCAGGTTAACAAACGGGTAGGCCCAAGACTCTTTCAGATATCACTTGCCACCAATGTTGAGCAGCAGTCGGGAATTCAACTCAAGTTTGCCGGATTCATAGTTGCAGTGTGCAAACTGATGCGCCACCACTCTATCCCTGTTTAGTTATTTATCTTGCCTCAATAAAACATTAAGCGGTGTGTATGCATTATATATTATCGAGACACATATTGCAAATGCATCGGTGTATATCCAGTTTATGCATTTACACTTGCCGCCGACTACGTGTGCATTATGGTTAACGACCACGGCGACCGCGTTTAGAATCAGATTCGTTCATATTTTGTCGCAAACGTCTCGACGATTTTTAGTCAGAAGACGTCTGCGAAAATGCAGAAGTGCTTAGCGGAGTCAACCTTGCATCTGAAACAACCTGATTTGCGTGGCTCGATATTAAAGCCGTGCAAAAATAAATTAACGTCGCCGCCGTCAAGTTCCAAAGAGGGGTCGGGGGGGGAGGTTGGGGGTGGTTACGCTCACTGCCGATAGCCGCACGTCGTCACCGCGACTTCTCGCACGCAGGCAAAAGCAGCGACCATCCGCACGCGCAGTGCAAAACAAACCTTTTTAAAAGTCGGCTCGGCTAACGTCAGTCTCAATATAGCGAGCCAATGGCCCGTGACAGTGTAAAACAAACACTTCGCTCGTACATGTGTAACATCGATGCCAGCAGTGGCGGATCGTGACAAACGACCACAACTTGCCAATTAGGGTGGAAGGCTGGGGGCGTCCGCTGGTGCAAGGCTGAGGTGGGGCCGGTTTAGGGGGTGGGGTGCCCAGGCACCTTTTCTGTCCATCTCCGCAATTAGCTCTCGGCACAACCGCTAATTACAGTCTGCCGTCGGTCTGGGGATTGGAGCAAAAGGCAGAAAACTGTAAATCACGACGGAGGGGATTAAGGGGGGGGTGGGTGGGGGGGAGGAACCAAAAAATAATTTGCAGCGCTGTCGATTCCAAAACAATTGATTTTGACAGATTTTTTTTTCCAACTTGACGCCAAACTCGTGCAGTAGCGAGCGGGCCACGGTGGTGGTGGCTTCGCCCACGCGCGGCCGGCGTAGGCACCCCGCTGATGGAACGCGCGGGGCCCGTGTGCGTCGCTTCCCCGCGAGTCGCAGCCTCGCCCAGCGCACGGAGCACCTTCACCCCGCCGCGGTCACCCAGGCCAGGCCGAGACGCGGTAAAACGCGAGGATGGGTTGGGGCAGGCGGGCAGATGTGGCTTGTTGTCTTTAGAGAATCAAGAGCGTGACCCTGGCACATCCACTAGGCTCTCGTGTAAACAGCCAGCGCACCTACTTAACCTTCAGAGCGATTCCTGCGCGGCAATTTAAGTTCTTAAATTGCCGCTTATGCCAGGACAATCAATACCACCGAGCGGCTTTTTGAATGCCTGGCTCAAACAAGCAGAGGCGAGGACGCCTCTTTCTAGTTTGCGTTTCATCACAAGCACCGAGGAGAGGGGCTTTGTTGTTCAGTGCTCGCGCAAGCTGTGCCCATGTAACTGCTCCAGCCAGCAATCACAGAAAAAAGTACGGTGATGAATTTACATGATCGGCAGGCAGCCTTTAATGTTATTCATTTTAAGGTTATTTGTGACTTTTGATAAAAGGGCCGAAATGCACCTTGGAAGACCATATATTTTTTATTACAATTAAATAAAAGCTTATTAAAACGGCCTTTGAGATGTTTCTCTTTTTAATACAAATTAAACCAGCACATTCTGAATATTTACTTACAAAGCTGCAGCAGCTTGAAGACAAGTAATCTGTTATATAGTTTGTGGTGCGTGTGTTTTATTTCAGATGAGGTCAAATGTATTCCACGGATTCTAATGATGGGAGGATGACGAGAAGGAATGAGGGGAGGACAGGAGGAGGTCGCGGTGGGGTGGGGGGGGCGAGGGGTGTGGGCGAGGGGGGTGGAGGGGGCAGGTGGGGACCGTCTCACGACAGATGCAGGGGCTCCCCGAGCCTCTGCGCTCACAGCCTAAATCACACCCATTTGTCTGGGCTCACATCTCAGCCGGCGCGCGCAAGTGGCCGGCAGGACTCTTCCGGGTCACCAATAACTCTGCCGATGAGTTATTGGTGGCAAGAGGACGCCGCGGAATTGGCCCCGGAGATGGAAAAGCAGACGGAGAGAGGGAGAAGACAGAGAGATGGTCGCAGACTCACAATGGGGCGGCAAAGTCTCCCGGCGAGCGAGTATCGAAACGGAGAGTCATGGTCAATCCACTGCTGGATGAAGGTCTCGGCAAGCCACAGTTCGTGATCCGCTGTTGTAAGCCACCTCGCGACACCTGTTTTTTTTATAATAATAATGCTTTTAATATTGTAAAGTGAGTTAAAAAGTTATATTTGAATCTCAAATATTTAACAGAAGTCTAATTATGTGACTAAATTGCCATTTAATACGAAATGTATTTTGTTATTGTTTATAGACGAAAAAATGTGTCATTAAAAACTCGTATATACAAATAACCATTTTACGAGCAAATGGCACCAAATAATAACTTTCGGAGCACTTCTAAAGTTGAGACGGTTTGCCAAAATTCAATTCAAGTTCGCACCGAAATCATTTTTTCTTCCACATTCACACAGACGCACGCGCACATTATACAACCGAGAATGGTAGCAATAAAGACAAAAGCAAAAAAGGTCATTGGCAAGCAGATGAAAATGTTTTATTTGAGTTAGGTTAATAAATGTCCTCGCAGAGAATTG